ATCCCTGAATGGGAAATTATCTTTACTCTTACCCAAACCTTCACTCTTCCCTCTTGCCTCACTATAACTACCCTAGGCTCCTGCTGCCACTCCCAGAGGAGAAGAAAAACCCAGAAAGGACAGCACAGAAGAACAGTGGTAGCCTTCTCTTCAGATTATCAGTTATTGAGGTGGAACATTCCTTGTCCAAAGCTCTTTCTGCTCCCTGTAACTGGAGCACACAACAAAGGTCATCTAAGGCTGAAGGCCCCAGGAGAAGGAATGTGCTTGGGGGGCAGGGAGATGGGGGTCTCTAAGGTAGGATATCTAAGAGCTGATGGATGAGAAGTTAAAGCAGCTAGAGCAGAAAGGGATACACCAAGTGGGGCCTCATTTTATTACAATAGTACTGGCATGTAGACAGGGTAGCAGTATCCCCCAAAATTGTGCAGAAGAGAAGATTGAGGGACAGAAAGAAACTGATGTGTCCAAGGACCAAAAAGGGCAATGCACAGTTCTCCTGACTCCAAGAGTCCCCATTCTCTTCTTTTCCTCAACAAGGATTCTTACATGACACCTACCTATTGCTTGAGTGCACTAGAAGTGGGTATCCAGACCCTTCTGATTCCAGCTTTGGGTGGCTGCTCCTGCTCCAGGATCCTTGCCCAGAACATAGGGGAAAATGAGGTTTATGCCAGTCATAAAACCAAGTTGGGGTCTGATATGGCCATGGGAGATGCTTCTGCCCAGGTTGCACAAGTAGGAGCTAAAAACAGGAGTCCCCAAGGAGCCTTCATATGTAGAGCAGCTCCAAGAACAGCTCCCCATTTTAGAACTGGAAGCAAAGGGGCTTGAGGAGCTGTTTCTTAATTCTGAGACATAATAGAAGAACCAGATTGAGCTAGGGCTCTTGTATTCCTGTTGTAAGGTGCCTGGGTACAGGTCCCAGTCTGAATAAAAACCGTGGTCAGGAGTGAAAGGGTGATTAGACTGGATGCTTCAGCTGGTTGGAAAACAGGCTGGAAGGGAAAAGGAGAGGGCATGGGGACCAGATAGGAATTGTTTTCTCTACTAGAGGTGGAAAGAGGAGGGAGAAGGAGGGAATGAGCTGGTGGGTGCTTATGAGTGTACCTGCTCTCTAAGCCACACAGGAGWTGTGGGCCTGCTATAGTTCCCCAGCCCAAGGTTGACCAGTGGTTCCCAGGAATGCCAGAGTATACAGACACTTTCTTAGCCTCAGTTTACCCTTCTGGTAAGTGAGAAAAGGAAGCTGAACACATTTGTATCCAGCTCTGCATGGTTGTCAGTGAAAGATGCCTGGATCCAAAGATGCCACCCGGAGAGTGTGTTCGCGGCCTCTGGCCAGCCAGGGGTCCCCCTCCCCTTCCCGCTCCTTCTTCTCTCCCCCTCCTCCGAGCCGCCCGGCCCCCGCCCCCGCCCCCGCCCCGCCTCCGGTGTGAGATGGGGGCGGGAGGCAAGCAGAGCCGAGAGGAGCCGAGCCGCGGACGCCGCCACCTGATCCCATCTAGTTGCTACGAGGCAAGCGACCGGCACTCTTCGCTCAGGGCCCCCGGCGCCCTGGGATCGTGCAGATTTCAGGACAAGAGGCCGGTGCGAACAGGGCCAACCCCGACCTGGGTCGGAGGCCCAGGCAACCTGCGCAGCGTGAGTACTGCAGTGGCCGATCTGGGGCTAGGGGCGACCAAGGGAGTGGACCGCAGGGGATGGGGAAGAAGGGGAGGCGGGAGAGTGTCCTGGGGGCCTAGTGCCCCGGGAAGCATAAGGAGGGGCCCGCTCTACCCTCACTCTACCCGGGTGGGAAGGCGAATCTGGCCCAGATGTCCGGATCTCAGGGAGAGGTTGGGATGAAATTGAGGAATGGGAGGGGGGTAGGGGTAGGTAGTGATGGAGAAAGAAGGATGAAGGGAATTCAGAGGCAGGGATGCAGCGGGGGTGGATGACAGGGAGAGGGGGTTGGGGGGATCTGGTGCAGGCTGGAGGAAGAGAGGAAAAGGACAGAGGTGGAAAGATATTCTATCTCCTGGGCCACAATGTGCTGCCCCTCCGCTGCCCTTTCCCCTTCCTCTCTGGGGCCTTGGGTCACTTTCCCTCCTGACTGGGCTGAACCGTCCCCCAAGTCAGGASGGAGTTGTTTCCAGGTCTTTGGGATGTCAGATCCAAATGGTCCAGTGCAGAGCACCCCTTCCTCTAAATGTATCAGTATCAACCCTGGAGCTTGGAGGGGACGGAGCAGAAAGGGCTCATTTGGAAGTGGGTGGGTATCCAGGCCAGTTTTCAAAGCTCTGGCAGGCTATACCATTTCTTCTTTGGTTCTCTGGAGAAAAGAAAGCAATTTGCAAAACTGGGCAGCAGCCTGAGGTAGATTGTTCTGACTAAAATTAGCACTGATATTCTGATGAGGTTGGCACCCTGACCTGCCTGGGATGGTGGAGGGAACCTCTCTCTCTCTCTCTCCATAAAGAAGACACCCAGGAGACTGGGGAGTCATTTGAAGCATCTGTGAGCAGGAGCCAAGGCCACTCACTGCTCTAAAGACTGGTCCAGCAGCACCACCATCCACTTGCACCCACCAGCCTCAACACCAGAAGGAAACCCAATGCGAGTGGCCCCCTGCGGCTCCCACTGCCCTGAATCCATCTCCAAAAGAGGCATCTTGCAGTGAACAGGCAGAGCCAAGGCAGGCCTCCTCCAATGTCCAAGTGGCACCCTCTCTCAGGACCTGGAATGTTTTGCCTGGCCAAGTGCCCACCCAGAGACAGGGTTCCTGCTTTCAAATACCTGAAGGTCTGTCACCGAGAAAAATGTGCCATGCGCTCTGGGAGGGCAGCACAAATCACAGCACAGCATAGGAGGGGGAGGGGCAAACTGAGGAAGATATTGGTGCCAGGATGATCCCACTGTCCCAGGAAGAACTCTGGAACTGTGGGTTGGGGGTGGGTGCTCAGGAACAGATCAGGCTGTATCTGGAGGTGATGAGCTGTCATTGACAGAAGCCAAACAGATCCTGGCACCCATCATTGGGGGCTGGTGTCCAGGGAATTCCTACACTGATGATGTCCCATCCCCAAAAAGGCCTCAAACTGGGGTCTGGCTGGTTCCCCAGAGTTTAGATGTTGGAAGTATGGGAAGGCASGGGGTAGAGTGGAGGGAACACCAGGTACCCCTGTCATCCTTCCTGTATGGCCAGGGAAAGGCCTGCTATAGTTCCCCATAGACTTGACCTCCTTGGCAGGCCTAGACTCCCTTGAGAAATAAGAGTGGTTTCAGTGAGTTTAGCAGAGGTAGAAATAGACTTACGCCCTCCATTTTACTCCTTCAGAAACCCCCATTTGGTCACCAAGTCCTCTAAGCAGGGATGTAACATTGAGAAGGTGTGGACCAGGGAGAGGGCCAAGAGCTCAGGCTTCCTCCTGCAGGCTTCCCCACCCAGCTGAGCCAGCCCTCCTCTGCCCCAGCAATTCCTGAAAAGTGAAAGGTRGCCTTGGGTTGCCTCTGCTGTGCCCTTGGTTGTCCTTTGTAGCTAGACCTTTCACCCCCTCAGCGCCAGGCAGATTAGTCTGTCGACAGGCTGGTRGAAGAAAGCAGGTGTTGGGGCCTGGAGAGAAGAGGAAGCGTAACCAGGACATCTTTTCACCCAAACAGGTTTAAATCTAATCCAGGATTAATGGGGGCCAGGGAGATTGGAAGCCAAGCCCAGGAACCTGGAGGTTGGTGGTAATCAAAAGGGTTTTCTCATTACCTCACCCCTCCTGGGACCCAGGTGTCCTAGATCCACACACATGCACATGCCCATAAGGCTTCAGGCTGCCCCTCCCCTTTGGAGAGGGGTGTGTGTTGAAGCTGAACCTGAACCTGAACCTGAACCTGGACACAGGCCTGTGGGGTGAGACAGAGACCCACCCTAGCCTGGGGTCAGGCATAGCTGCTGAAGCTGACTTTCCACCTGAGCTGCCAAGGGCTGCGCTGCCCTTGAGCCAAGGCATTTGGGTGGGGAAAGTAGACTGGCCAGAAATCAGGCCTTTTTCCTGCCTCCCACTCCTGCACCTCACCTGGGATGGAGGCTCACCTCCTGCTAGAGATTCTCAGCAAAGGGACAAGGAGGGGCCACTTCTATGCTCCCCATGCCCCTCTCCTCTCCCAGGCTGCCACCCTATCCCCTTTGCTGGGCACCTCCACTGCAGTCAGCTGATAGGGCCGCCTGGGTTTCAGGTGTCTGGGGATGGAATCCAAATAGGGTTCCAGGATTCAAGTCCCACTTTCCCTCGTCGATTTATTGGTCCTGAGCCATCAGGGCAGGAGCCCAGCCAGGAGGGCTCAGGGTCAGAAGTATGCAAAAATGCCAGAACCAGGGCAGGGATGGAAAAATCAGTTTTTATGGAAACAACACACTATAGTGTCTAAGGGCATATACTTTGGAGCCAGAAAGAGTAGGTTAGCATCCCAGTTCTGCTGTTACCAGCTATGTGCTCACACACAAGTGACATTACCTCTCAGAACCTCACTTTTTTCATCCTTAAAGTGGGAATAATACTTACATTAGCACTGRAGTGAGGATTAAATGAGTCTGTAATGGAGAGTGCAGGGAGTAAGCCTGCAGTACTGATCTGAGACTTAAGGAGGTGGAGATCAGTAGCTTAGTCTTTGGGGAGGTCACACACACCCCTCAGCTGAAGTAATCAAACTAGGAGTCCTGGAGAAGGGCAAAACTCAAGCTGAGACTTCTGTGTTCTGATCCACATGTTGTAGAGACAGACAAATGGCCATGAGACAAAGAAAAGTTAGGGACAGGTGGAGAGGGAGAGACAAGCGGTAAGAAGTGGCTATAGGCTGAAGAGCTGGCCACACACCAGACCCTGTAATTCCACCCAAGACTAGGTTATCTCCAACAGTAAGGAGGTCGGGTCTTGTTAACAGGAGGTAGGAATTTGATCTGCCTTGGCCTTGCTGCTCACCCCACTCACTGGAGCTCTCTTTTGCAGCAGTCCTGATAGGGCCTAGAGCCCATCTCCTCTGCCCACTGCAAACCTGTCTGCCTCCTTCTCCTGCCAGGYTTCTTGGGAACACTGGCCCTACTACCAGAGCCTCATGAGCCCCCATGAATGCCAGTGAAGGGAGACCTGGCTAATGAGGCCCTAGCTGGTCAAGGGCTGGGGACTCCACCATGCCATCCATCTTGCAGCGCCTGCAGCAGGCCACCAAGACGATGAGCCGCAGGAAAATCCTGCTGCTGGTACTGGGGTGCAGCACTGTAAGCCTTCTCATCCACCAGGGGGCGCAGCTCAGCTGGTAAGTGGGTGGGCCCCCAAAGGAGGCAAGTTCCCTCAGAGCCACATGGGTTCACACTAAGAAGGGGTTTATCAGGGATGGTGGTGCTGGCCAGTAATGCCAGCTATGCTGAGTTAGGATTGCAAGTTCAAGGCCACCCTTGGCAACTTGGCAGTACCCTGTGTCAAAAATAAAAGAACTGGGGTTTCCCTTCCCATTCTTCTACCTAACAGAAGAGTCCTTCTGTTAATCTTTACTCCTTTACTCTGAAAGTGCTTTCCATACATATCCTCTACATCCACAACTGGCCTTCACTGAAAGGACTGAGTTACTTGTTCAAAGTCATAGAGTCAGTCAGAGTTAGCTAGGATATGAATTCAGCCCAAACCCTGTGGGCACAGCATGATAGCTGAGTGCTGCCCCAGTGGACAGCACATAACTTCACTTATAAAGTGGGAGTGATGGTATGTACAACCCACTAGTCACCCTGATACAAGGTACCATGTGCTGACTGATGGGAATCCTGCCCCTGCTCCTGACTTCCTGTGAACTCAACAATTCCCTGTACCTCTCTGAACCTCAGTTTCCCATTTTCTACATGGCCTGCCCCTGAGAATGGTATGAACAGTGTGAACCAAATGATTTGCTAGTCTTATGTGTGTGTAACTGTTATCCTGAACCAAAGCAGCTACAGATAGGAAATCTCCATGGTGTTCTGTAAGCTGCTTCACACTGCCCTCATTACGTGATCTTAGGATGGCAGAGAAAAAAAAACAGGTGAGTGAATCAAAACCTGCAGGACTTTATAGGTCACTAGTCATCCCAAACACCCTCGTTTCAGGAAGGAGGAACAGAAATGAACACTTCATGAAGGGTTGGAGTATCATCTGTTTCGTAGACTGTTGCATTTCTTGAGCATAGAAGAGTGTCTGGCACACAGTAGATGCTCAAAAAAACAAAACAAAACAAAACAAAAACGCTGAATGTATGACTAAGGCTCCAGAGATCTTAACAGAACCTATAACAAATGGCTTGCTACAAAGCCTGGTGTCCCCCACCTAAAAAGTGAGGAATCAGTTAAAGAGTAAAATGAGAAAGAAGGTAGTAAGGGGATTTAGTGATTGTCCCCAGATTCTCCTCTGGTCCTCAGTTTCTACATCTGTAAGTGGGATTCCTCAAGGATCCTGAAGGGCATTTGTCCCTTCCATTATCTATTTTTTGGAAACATTTTTTATAGTAAATGGACACAATACCTTTGTTTCATTTATTTATTTATTTTTATATTTGTTTTTTAGTTGGACACAATATCTTTATTTATTTATTTTTATTTGCTCATGAGGATCGAATCCTGGGCCTTGCATGTGCTAGGCAAACGTTCTAAGGCTGAGCCACAACCCCAGCCCCCCTTTGTTTTGTTTTTATGTGGTGCTGAGGGTCGAACCCAGTGCCTCACACCTGTGATGTGAGMACTCTACCAACTGAGCTATAACCCCAGCCCCCATTATCTATTTTTGAACAAACAAATGACCTTGAAATTTAGCAGCTGAAAACAACATTTATTCTCTCCATTTCTGTGGGTCAGGAATCCAGGTGTAGCTTACTGGGTACCTCTGGTTCAGGTCTTCCATGAATGTGCAATCAAGGCGTTAGCCAGGGCTGCTCCTCATCTGAAGGTCTGACTGGAAGAGATCCCCTTCCAAGCTCACTCAAGTGATTTGGCAGACTTCAGTTCTTCAAGCAGTCTGTTGCCACGTGTTACCTCCCTATAGGGCTGCACACAGTGTAGTAGCTTGCTTCCCCCAACATGAGTTATCCTAGAGAGCGTGGGAGGGGAAAAAAGAAAACACCACCAAGATGGAAGCCATAGCCTTTCTCTGATAGAATCTCAGAGGTGACATCCCATRGTTTCTGCCCTATTCTATTCGTTATGCGCATCGATGAGCCCAGTCACCCCAAGAGGAGAATACAGAAGGGTGTGGTTTTCAGGAGGACAGCAGGGATCGTAGGGCCCAGCTTAAAGGCACCCCTGCCCCTACTGCTCCAGGGGTAAAGCCTAGGCAGCGCCCCTGGGCAGCACATCCGGGCAAGCCCTCCTCTCACATATGCCCGGGCCCTGCAGGTACCCTAAGCTATTCCCTCTGAGCTGCCCACCCCTRCGGGAGTCGCCACCGCGCCCCAAGCATATGACAGTGGCCTTCCTGAAGACGCACAAAACGGCGGGCACCACAGTGCAGAACATCCTGTTCCGCTTCGCCGAGCGCCACAACCTGACCGTGGCCCTGCCGCACCCGAGCTGCGAGCACCAGTTCTGCTACCCGCGCAACTTCTCGGCGCACTTCGTGCATCCGGCCACGCGGCCGCCACACGTGCTGGCCAGCCACCTGCGCTTCGACCGCGCGGAGCTGGAGCGCCTCATGCCGCCCGGCACAGTCTACGTCACCATCCTGCGCGAGCCGGCCGCCATGTTCGAGTCGCTCTTCAGCTACTACAACCAGTACTGCCCGGCCTTCCGGCGCGTGCCCAACGCGTCGCTCGAGGCCTTCCTGCGCACACCCGAGGCCTACTACCGCGCGGGCGAGCACTTCGCCATGTTCGCGCACAACACGCTGGCCTACGACCTGGGCGGTGACAACGAGCGCAGCCCGCGCGACGACGCCGCCTACCTGGCGGGCCTGATCCGCCAGGTGGAGGAGGTCTTCTCACTCGTCATGATCGCCGAGTACTTCGACGAGTCGCTCGTGCTGCTGCGGCGCCTGCTGGCCTGGGACCTGGACGACGTGCTCTATGCCAAGCTCAACGCACGCGCTGCCAGCTCGCGCTTGGCTGCCATCCCTGAAGCGCTGGCGCGGGCCGCGCGCACCTGGAACGCCCTCGACGCCAGCCTCTACGACCACTTCAATGCCACCTTCTGGCGCCGCGTGGCACACGCCGGCCGCGCATGCGTGGARCGCGAAGCGCGCGAGCTGCGCGAGGCCCGGCAGCGCCTGCTGCGCCGTTGCTTCGGCGATGATCCGGTGCTGCGTCCAGCCGCGCAGATCCGCACCAAGCAGCTGCAGCCATGGCAGCCCAGCCGCAAGGTGGACATCATGGGCTATGACCTGCCWGGCGGCGGGGCCGGCCCAGCCACCGAGGCCTGCCTCAAGCTGGCCATGCCCGAGGTGCAGTACTCGAACTACCTGCTGCGCAAGCAGAAGCGCCGTGGTGGTGCTCGGGCCCGGCCCGAACCCGTCCTGGACAATCCCCCACCCAGACCCATTCGAGCCATCCCCCGAAGTCCCCAGGGCTCCTGAGCTGTGAGCTGACTCCCAGAGCCTGCATCCTGCCCTGCCCTCCCAGGAGGAGGCTGCCTCCAGGTCCTGCCCCATCAGGGCCCGTTCTTTCCCAGGGGCTTGAGCCTCACACCGAACTGAGGGTGCATCTCCCCATCTGAGCCGACCTCCTCGATGTTGGCTGAGCCCCACCTTTGAGGATTTCGCTTTTAGGCCTGATGGAGCCCTGGGCCACCCTCTTCTTCCCAGCTGGTTGGTGACTTTAACAAGAGGTGTAAGGTCCGTCCCAAAGCCCTGGCCCTACTTTTTTCTGGGGGCTGGGTCCACCCCACACCTGTTTTTCCATGTAGATGAGTGCAAGCCCCAGAGTGGGGCTGAACCCCAGACAATGGCTGTGCTGTTTCTCAGTATGGCTGGGCTCTTGCTCTTCCCAGGGCTGCAGAGACCCCTATACTGTGTCTTCCAGGTTCTACCCTCCCCACAAACCTAAGCTGCTCCCAGACTCCCAGGACCAAGAGTTCCTGGGTTGGGCTTTTTGTTGGTTTGTTTTTCTCTTTTTTCTTTTTCTTTTTTTTTTTTAAATAAAACATCTTTAAAATGTGCAGGCAGTATGTTATTCATTGAAAGACAGATTCCCCATATTTGAGTATGAGACAGATATCTAGGAGGTATTGTGACTGGCCCCCATGAAGATGGGAACCTAGACTTAGTCAAGCTCCTAGTTGCCCCTCCCAAAGGCCCACAACTCTCCTCAACCCTTTGATCGACTGGGCTCACCAATACAGACCACAGCCACCTCAGTCCCTCTCATTTTTCAAATCAGTCATTTTTATTTGGCATCATTAACTGAACAGCATTTGTAACTTGAAGATGCAGGTGACCAGGACAGATAGGGTCTTTATCTTCCTGGAGCTCACCCAAGACAGTGAAATGGAAGCAAACAGTAAGGACTGTGCAGGTTAGAGCACACTGCACTGTCTTAGGAAGAACAGTGTGAAGATGCTCCTCTGGGAGAAGGATCCGTATCTGGTTTCAGGTTAGTGAATGTTTACCTCCAATTTTACCTCTCCCAGCAAGTCCCTACTCTTAGGAGGACCAATTCCTCTCCCAGTTTTCTTGAGCACAGCAAGATATCCATATCTGCTGGGCATTGTGGCATAGCCTGTAATACCAACAGCTTGAGAGGCTGAGACAGGAAGATTGCAAGTTCAAGGTCAGCTTCAGCAATTTAGCAAGACCCTTTCTCAAAACATGAAGGGGCTGGGAATTTAGCCCAGTGGTAAATTGCCCCTACGTTAAACCCATAGTATCCCCGTGCCCCACCCCACCCCCCAAAAAAATATAAGCAAATCTAGCACTTTCAAATGAAACTTCTCTTAAGACTAGCAAAGTTTCAGGACTTAACTTTCTTCAGAGCTACCTTGACATATCTGGACAAAAAATAAAAATGGTAGCTAATATGGTCCACTGTATGCCAGTCATTGTTTAAGGGCTTTCCCATGTATTAACTTAGGAGATAGACACCATGTTCCAGTTGGAAAATGAATTTTAAGTGGGCTGGGGATGTGGCTCAAGTGGTAGCAAGCTCGCCTGGCATGCGTGTGGCCCAGGTTCGATCCTCAGCACCACATACAAAAAAAAAAAACAAAGATGTTGTGTCCGCCGATAACTAAAAAAAAAAATATTGAAATTCTCTCTCTCTYTCTCCCTCTCTCACTCTCTCTTTTAAAAAAAATGAATTTTAAGTGACATCAGGGTCGCACAGCTAGAAAGTGGCCATTAGAATTTGAACCCTGACAGCATAACTTCAAAGTCTGTGCTTGWAATTGCTGTGCATGGTGCCATTTAAATAAAGTCACATGGCACAGGCTAGGCTGACTCCCAGTACCTCGAAAAAGAATGTAAAGTGAAGAACCAAGATGCCAGTATCAGCTCTTATCTTTTTTTTTTTTTTTCCACAGAGAAAATAGTTGACCTGCTTGGACAATGAAGATTGCAATGGTTGGTTGGCAGGCCATATGACACTGTATCTTAGTCATAGAYACAGTCTGTTGCCATAATAGATGACCTATGGCTGGGGAGTTTATAAAGAAAGAAGTTTGTTTTGACTCAGGGTTCTGAATGCTGGGAACATGGCACCAGCATCAGGTTGGGCCATATGGCAGAGGGCAAGTGGGTGCAAGCAGAAGAGAAAGAGACAAAACACAAGGAAGGGTGGCCTCACTTTAGAACTTCCTCTCACAGTAACTAAGCCAGTTCCCAAGAGCAAGAACACACACCCATGAGTGAGGTGTTTATCCATCTTAATGACCTAGTCACCTCTTAAAGTCATCATCTCCTCTCAGCATTGTTATATTGGGGACCAAATTTCAACACAAGTTTTCGAGTGGGTAAACCCCATCTGAATCATAGCACACTTCCTTGGGCTTGAAAGGGGTGATTTATATAGCACCCCACTTTTTAACARTAGAGCTCTGGAAAAGGCAATAATTAGAGCATGCAAGGCCATAATTAGTTCTCTGATGCTCAGCAGAAATAAAGAATTGTACTAGACTCAAAGTCGTGTATCCAAACACAGGTGTCCTTTGGCCCCCAAGCCTAGAAGATGTCTTTATTCCTTCTTCTGCCAGCCCTAGCCTCTGGTGACATCTCCGGCAGGAACGTCCTTCACCCTACCCTGGGTCTGCCTCGGAAACTCAAACGTGCCTTTACAATCTGCTTTGATAGGCCTCCCCTACCTTCCCAGGCTCTCGGGCAGGCAGGCATTTACATTGCACCACTTTTGCAGCCACAATTCTGAACTCAGAAATATCTGCATTCAGAAACTTAACAGAAAGAGAGGGCTTCTTTGATGTAGGGGCAAGGACAGACCCTGAGGTGAGCAGGGGTTCTGACTCCTCAGTCCAAACCCCTCCAGATGCAACCCCGGGGAAGACCCAGCCTCTGTGGTCCCAATGCCCTGCAACAAAGCTCCACCAATGCACATCTGTTGCTGGCCCCTCTGTGCCTACCCTGCAAGGTTCTAGAGCTTTAGAACCGTGGTGATTGTGGCCCCTGCCTCAAGGAGCTCACCGCAAGGTATGAAACAGATGAAGGAGCAGCCAGTGGGAGGCAATGATTCCATGGATATGACTTTTCCTAATAATTAACCATCAGTGCTGTGAAGTTCAAACCCTGGATCTGCTACTACTGGCTACATTTGGGGGGCAGGGGTACCAAGGATTGAACTCAGGGGGACTCCACCCACAGAGACACATCCCCAGCCCTATTTTGTATTTTATTTAGAGGGTCTCACTGAGTTGAGTGTGTCACTTTTGCTGAGGCTGGCTTTGAACTTTCAATCCCCCTGCCTCAGCCTCCCGAGCCCTAGGATTATATAGGCGTGAGCCACTGCACCCATCCCTACATTTTTTTACTCAGTATTTGAGCCTGACCCAGCCAACTTCCATGAAATAAAGATCCCCCCATGGGATTCTGGGAACAGTATTTGAGATAAGGCACCTAGCACAATGTCTGGCACATAGAAGTGCCCCCAAGTTGCCACCTCTGGTTTTATCAGGGCTCCTCCAGTATTAACACATGGTAGATGTTACAGGTTGGCACATCCGTTTAAGAGTTTTCCAGCAGTTGGAAGACAGCATTTTGAGGAAGGGGTGCATTTTTCCACTTGGCCCAAAGGCATAATATGGGCCAGCAATAATCTTGATTTTTATGAATACAGAAGAATGAAAGTGCGTGGGACTGGGTACTATAGCGAACAACTTTAATCCCAGCCACTTGGGAATCTGAGGCATAAAGACCTCAAGTTTGAGTTAGGCCTCACTGTTGAGCCAAAACAAATGTTTCCTCTTTATAAACTGATTATTTCAGGTAGTTTGATTCAGTACCTTTGTTACAGAAAGTTGACATGCACACTGGGCCCTCTAGGTGGCCAGTACCAGCTTAGAAAAGGCCTTGAATGACATGCTTGGAAGTTCAGATGAGCTAATTTCATTCACTCTTGTATGTTTTTGAAATGAGGTCTTCCTATGTTGCCCAGTTTGGTTTCAAACTACTGAGCTCAAGTGATCCTTCTGCCTCTGTCTCTTGAGTGCTGGTAATACAGGTGCAAGTCACCATGCCTGGCAGGATTTCTAAGGGTCATGTCAACCAGTCAAGATTCCCAGCCCAGAGAGGATGGCCCTGAACACATCATTGAGAGAGTAACTGGAATAAGCTGAATAACGTGAACCTCTTGCCACTTCCCTGCAATCTCTGCCTATGGCATGTTGGTTTTTGCAGTACTGGGGATGGGACCCAGGGCCTGTAAATTCTAGGCAAGTGCTCTACCAACTGAGCTGCATCCCCAGCCTTTTTATATTGAGCAGGATCTCATTAAATTGCCCAGGTTGGCCTTGAACCTTCAATTCTCCTGCCTCAGACTTCCAAGTAGCTGAGATCACAGGCATGCACCACTGCACTCAGCTGCAGTAGTTTTCTTTAGTCAGGAAAGCTGTACCCTTAGAATGGATCATAGTGGCCATTTTGGCTATAAGAGTGTTGCTACTAATATGGTGACAGAAAGGGAACTCTTAGAGACACATTGAGACCATCTAAAACACCTCCATTGAGGACATGCCCTTTACTATTGCCCACCTTACCTGACAAGGGCTCTTTTGCTCTACTCTGCCTAGCCAGGGTTTAATCCTCAGGGCTGAGGGGCTGCAGGGAGTGGGAGGGAGCAAAAGGTTTGAACAACTTTTTTTCCAATTTTTATTTGTTCTTTATGTTTGGACATTTTTTCATTTCTTTTTATAAATTATTTGAGTAAACATCATGTTTTGAGGCAAAAGAAGAAACCAAGAATATTTATCCTTTATTTTGGAGTAGGTTCTTGCCACAGGTACCATCTTTTCTTGCAAAAAAAAAAAAAAAAACACTAATCCATCTCCCCCATCTAGTCAATTACCTCCTGATCCCAGAGACTCTCCCCTTCCTAGATAAATTCCTCTGAAAATTATTCAATTATTGTTCCAGACATAAAGGCAAGCTCCTTGAGGCAGGGGCCACATGATTCTAAAGCTCTAGAACCTTGTGGGCACAGAGGGTCCAGCACCAGATGTGTGTTGGTAGAAGGAACTTTGCTGCAGGGCATTGGGACCCCAGGGCCTGGGCCTGTCCTCTGGGTTGCAGCTGACACTGGAGGTGTTTGGACTGAGGAATCAGAGCCCCTGCTCACCCACATCAGATAAAGAAGCCCTCTCCTGAAATGTGTGTGTATGTATGTATATATGTGTGTGTGTGTGTGTGTGTGTGTGTGTGTGTGTATATATATATATATATTCTTCAGCTGGCCATCATATGTCACTCAACTTCATTTGCTGGGCCAAATTTGGAGGGAGATTTTAAAGATTAGAAATGAGAAAGCAGAAGGAGGAGGAAGTTCAGATTGTTCTGGAATAAGTGGAATGGCCACAGATGATCAGCAACAGAGGTTGCCCC